CCCCCCCCCCCCCCGCATTTCATGCCAAGCTTCTGTTAGGGAGGAAACCCCCACTTGGGAATTTCCCACTCCAAAACTCACACGAGATAACAATCTAGTAAATTTCGTCTCGCGAAAGTAAATTCATAAAACCGGTATGAGTTCCTCAAACCCAACCACCAACTCAGAGGTTCGAGCTTGAATACTTCAACAAAGCACAAAGCTTATATCAGTGCAAGCAGTGGCACTAGATCGCCCTCGAAAAATAAAATTAAAAACAAAATTAACAGTAACTCCAATCGTAATAATCGTGACAAAAATTCTGATATGCCAAATCTAACGGATGAAACTTCAAACTTTCCAGCATTATCTAATATACCAAACAAAAACCGTTCCTCGTTTTTTACTACCTTCGACCTAGAAGGTAGACAAAAAGGTCAACAAAAACACCTACGCCAACATAAACCGAAGTGTCAATGACTCAGTAATAATAAATAACCGTTTAAATGACCCCAGCTCGGAAATTTAAATCTAAATTTAAAATCCAACAAGAAATACCCTGTCAAACCGCCCCCACTGTACATATATAATTTCAAGTACTCTATAGTCAAGTTTAAAAAGGAATTCACATAAAATTCAAATAAAATAAAATAAAAATGTCAGAATTCAATTAACCAACTTAACGGACTTCATAGAGTTAAAAGCCGGGCTCCACAGCCGAGGAATTCATTTTCACATTTTTGCTACTAAAAGAAAGCGCACTTTATCAATGGTGCTGAAGGGTCTCCCCGACTGCATCCCAGTAAACATAATCAACCAAATCAAAGCGCAAAGTCAAACCCCGGTCTCCTGCTATAACTTGAAAAGCTCAAGTGCATACAAGGTAAATTTCCCAGCCTGCATAACTATTTCCGAAATTTTAAAAATTCGGTATCTATTCAGGGCCAAAATTTACTGGGAGAAGTTTATGTCAAACACTAAAAACAGTCAATGCTACCATTGACAAGCATTCAGTCACTCCTTAGCAAACTGCAACATGTCACAATTGTAAAGGTCCACACACGACAAACTATTCCGAATGCCCCTTCTTATTACGATACTTGGAAAAGAAGTCAAACATCTTGAATCAGCGAGCGGGTCAAATAAAATCACACTACGTTGACAGTACGGTAAAACTGATTCTCTAAGATCAAAAAATTATCCAGAGAATAAAGTGACCAACGTTACCAGTACGGTTAATCGCGACTCTCTGCCCTAAACAGGATGCCGGATGGGACCAATCAATTGATACCAGCTCCTACCTACTCCCAGATAACAGCTGAGCGCGATAGAGTACTCAGACCAATTAGAAGATGATGTGAACGATCTCACAAGTCTCATGAGACCGAGATAAAAGAACTCAAGCAACTCTCTAACATTCAACTAATGCTCTCAACCATAAGAACCATCAACAGTAAATTCAGGAAATGCAACATCAACGCTGAAAAACTCCAAGCCTACCTAGAATTGTTTTAAACTCGTGACAAATTCACATTCTTCTTATCGCCGAAACCAGGTTAGATTCTGGTACCACTTTCACCATCCCCGGGTATCAAATAATCCGAAAGGATCGAGATTCCAGGGATGGTAAAGTGGCTTTCGCTATCAAGAATACTCTCAATTTCCAAATAATGGACACGTCTAATATCAATTCCTTTGAGGTAGTAGCTATCCAACTCAAAACACTCATGCTCACTGTATAAATTTCCTATTGCTCACCCAGAGCTCCCCTCGATCAGTTGGACCTGGATGGTTTCTTTAGGGTGGAGATAATTCTTGCCCCGACAAGGCTGCCAAACAAATTTTCGACCACATGCTTGGTTCGGCATACCGCATTATTTTTACGTCTGAACCCATTTGCCTCTCACACCATGATCATCCATCTACCATAGATATCTTTTTAACTGATGTAAACAAAGAAGTAAACTGTAATTCATAGGCCAGTAATCATAACCTCTTTTTTTATTTTACGTGGAGGAAATCTGCTTGCCAGACACCCCCGCCCGCCCGAGGGAGCGGGAGGAGGGTAGTGTGGGGTTTGACCCACTAAAACCTCCACGGCGACCTGAGGACACTGGACCAATCGCTGGCGATTCAACGGGGGAGCCACGGGAACTCTTGAAGAACACTACCGCGGCTTCCTCTCGCCTGGCCGGTCGTCAAGATGGTAGCGACGGCACCCCGTACCGCCCCGACACGGCGACCGCGCGAAAAGTGACCAGGGCCCCCGCCCTGATCACAGCGGCCGCCGGGGGGGGGGAGGGGGATGACGAGTATATTGGATGATTATATATCACCCTCGCCTCTTTGAGGCAACTCGTCACCTCCCACTCCCAACAGGGGAAGTCCTCCTCTTTTGGCGAGCGGCGGGCAATGAAATCAGCATGTTGTGGTACACCCGCCGCCCGCCTACTCTCAGCTGCCCGGGGTTTCTCGGCGTGGGCGCGCACGCC